CGATTATTCTAGATATGGAAATATCCGACCGCTCTATATAACCTCACCAATTAAACTAATAAAATAAATAATAAACTATGGCAGATCTGCGTACACTGATCTGTTAGAGGTCGGACTCGTCCGTCCATGGTGCCATTGGAGCTCACACGAGCCCACACCGCAAGGCGGCTAATGGTAAGCTGAAACTAATAAGAATAAAAGCAACCCCAAGAATACGGGCATCTAAGGTGAGCGACCCACTTAAGTTTCACCTTCAACTGTTCCGATAAGCCGTATGCCTCCTAATTTGGCATATTGCAGGAAAACTCGTCCTTATTTGGCAACAACATAGACAGACAGTACAAGCAATAAAAATCACTTACGGGGTCCTCTCGGTCATAGGTGATCAAGTAGGACTTTGTATCTTCCATCCAATAGCCAACGCAGCTGATGTAATTGTCCATTACATTGTATTCTGATATGGGATGACCAGCGAAGTCCAGACGCCAACATTGCTCCACATCTAACTTTAAAATTTTCGGATCCTCCAAACAGGCTTGAATGTCAGAGTGCCAATAATCGTAGCACAAGACCTGCAAGAAGAAGTAGTAAGGTTGCGAACTAGTAGGAGGATCGACTATAATGGAACACAAATGAGTGGTTTTGCCCCCAATTCACCTAAAAGGGGGAGGCTTCAATCTAGGATAGGCTACGCGCGTAGTACTTAAATCGTGGCTTGATGAATATGGGCTGCTTAGAGCCCATCACGAAGTAGGCAAATAAACTGTCATGATCAAGCATGATATTTTTAAGATCAAATCAAGCGAAAAGGGTCAAGCCAAGCGCGCACTTTTTTGAAGTTTTCTTTGTTGACAGTCATGCTGACAGTTGCTTGGTTCGGTTTTATGTTTCCATCAAATAACAGCGTATCTATTTCCAAGACAGTCGTTTACAAAGTGAATATGAGAACCCTTGCTTTTAGAAGTGCTCCGGGGCAGCATAAATGTTCCTCCTCCTTAAAATTAATCTAGACTTAGTTCGATCGCACAATTTATTTTGTACTTGCAATTGTTGCGGCTGCGATCATAACAGATGTAGCCGGCCTCGACTATGTCTCCGATGGCACGGCTCCACGCGCCACGATCCGTAGCAGCAGACCTGGACAGTTCAATTCATTCTTTTCGCCAGCGCTAGAGACCGAATACCTACGGTGCAAGAACCACTTCCATGTCCTGACGGACTGAATTGAGCCAGGTTTCGAGCTGACACCCTCTCCGACGTCATCGGTGTCGGATCGAGGGCCGTAATGCTGAGCTTGTGAGGTTGACGACGAAGAAGGTGTCCAAACCACCTCAGTCGTCCTTCTTAGATGGCCTGGGATATCCTTGCGATGTTGTCGCAGCGAGTGCGGACCGTCTCATTTGAGAGGAAGTCGGTGTACTTCAATCAAAGGATGGTCCTCAAGCAGTAGTGGTTAAGTACTTCCAGCTTTCT